CTCCTCCTCCTCCTCCTCCTCCTCCTCCTCCTCTTTCTCCTCCTCTTTCTCCTCCTCCTCCTCCTCCTCCTCCTCCTCCTTCTCCTCCTCCTCGTCGACACTCCACGCTGAGGGCTTCAGAACTACGACGGTCGCAGCCTGGCTCCCCCCCTTCCCGGCGGCGCTCTGTCACAAGGGAGGACGCAAAATTAGAACATTCTTGGGTGGATGGGGGGGTACTCCGAGGAGGAAGGCGTCGAGAAGAGGAGGAGGAGAAGGAGGAAGAGGAGGAGGAGGAGGAGGAGGAGGAGGAGGAGGAGAAGGAGGACGAGGAGGAGGAGGAGAGGGGGAGGAGGAACCTCTTGAGTGAGTTTCCGAGTGCGGGGGAGGAAAAGGGATCCCCTAGCCGCTGAAGTCCAACTGCTAATGCTGCTCCTCCGCCTCCTCCTCCATCTATCTCATCATCCTTCTCCTCCTCCTCCTCCTCCTCCTCCTCCTCCTCCTCGAAGCTCGAAGCTAGAAGATGCGGACTGGCTCCTCCAGTCGAAGCGAATCCTTCGAAGCCCACCCGCCCAGCGGCCGCTGGGGAGGCCCGCGCGGGCCGCCGCTGCCGCGCCGCGCGCGGCGAGATCGGCTCTCGCCCAGGGCCGCCTCCCGCGCGCAGGCCGCTCGAGCTGGGCCTGCCGCGCGGGTGCTCGCCGGCCGCGACCCCCCCACGGCTGCTGCGGCCCACTGGGCCGCGGGGCCCCAGCGAGGCAGGCGGGGCCCGCCGCTCCACGGCCTCGGCGGGGCTCGGCCCGCCGCTGCGCGGCCTGCGCGGGGCCCCGCGAGCGGCCCTGTCGCAGCGGGCCAGCAGCGCCCCGCCCGCCTGCGTGACCCAAGCGTGCCTCCTCCTCCTGCCTCCTCCTCCTCCCCTTCCGCTCCTCCTCCTCCTCCTCCTCCTCCTCCTCCTCTCTCCCCCTTTCTCCTCCTCCTCCTCCTCCTCCTCCTCCTCCTCTCCTCCTCCTCCTCCTCCTCCTCCTCCTCCTGTTGCGCTCCCTTTTTCCACTTCCTCCTGCCCCTGCTCCTCCTCCTCCTCGCCAGCTCCCGAGGGAGCACCGGTCATACTGACGCCGGCGTTCTGCTCCAGAAGCCCGCGCCCTCGCACGATCCCGCTCTGGCCCTTGCCGGGGAGGTGACGGGGGACACATTGTGGCATTGCCCCACAAGCAACAGGCAGGCGACGATGAGTGAACTATCCGCGAGCCGTGTGTGCCGCCACACATCGGGGAGCAACAGTTTGCATAAACATGAACTTTTGGAGGGATCGGAGCCGGAGCCCCTTGGCGGCGCCTCCAGCCCCGCCCCTGGCGCGCTCCGCGCGGATCCAGCACCGCTCCACGAGCTCCGCGGCCGCCCTCCTCTTCTCCCCACTTGCCCAGTGCGCCCCCGTCCCGACGCGGCCCGCCGGTTTTCCAAACGCGTTTCACGAGGGGAAAAAACACAGACACAATGAATCGGTGACCCCCCAGAAAAGATGAGAAAATATAGGAAAGGGGGGGAAGACAGAAACCCAGAAAACATGGGAAAAGGTGGGGAACCCTGTTATTTGTGTGTGTGTGTGTGTGTGTGTGTGTGTGTGTGTGTGTGTGTGTGTGTGTGTGTGTGTGTGTGTGTGTGTGTGTGTGTGTGTGTGTGTTTGTTTGTGTGCCCCAGGGCCCCTTCAGCGTTGGCGACCGCCCGCGCTGCTGAAGTCGGGGCGCGACTCCGACCTGCACGGCCTCCCTGCACACGCGCCGCGCGCTCGGTGCGCCCGCGCGTGGCGGGCTCTGCCGGCGTCCGCCGCGCCCGTCGCTCCTCGCGCGAGGGCGGCGCGCAGAGACGACGGCAAGCGCGCGCACCGCGCGGCGAGCGGGCTCCGTGCAGCCGGCTTCGGGTCGGACGGCACCTGCTGGCGGCCTCACGCAGATGGTGCTGGTAGGGGGAGGGGGTGGGGGGAGGCTTCTGGGAAGGAGGCCGCTGCTTGGACGGCGCGGGCCCTGTCCATAGATGTGAGGTCCGCGCCTTCCTCAGAAGCAGCCTCCCTCTAAGAAGCCTCTCCCCCCCCTCCTCCCCCTGCCACTCCCATGTGCGCGCCGCCACTGGGAAATCTGCCGCGTGCCGCCGTTCGCGGCCCCGCCGCCGGGCGCTCTCCTCGATGCGGTGGGACTCTCCAGCGCCCGGGGGGCGCGCCAGGGAGAGCAGCTGCGTCGGCCGACTCGCCACCGATCCGACACCGGCGTGAGGGGTGCCTGCGCCGTGGGGCCCTGCGCATTCTGCAGGAGGCCCAGTGGCTTTTGCGGTCTCTGCGATCGTCAGCCACGCCAGTCGCCCAGATTTCTCGGGGGGCTCTTCGCGGGGCCCCAGGTCCGTCGGGCTCCCAGGTCCGTCGGGCTCCTTGGGTTCCTTAGGTGCTCCGGGATCCTCTGTCTCCTCGGGTTGCCCAGCCTCCGTGAATTCCAGGTTCTTGTGATCACCATGCTACTAATGTAGTTATGCTCTG